CCAGTAAGACGAAGCCCACCCATTGGTCCCTCGCTTTTTCAACGGTGGAATCAGTGGTATGCCCGCCCGCTTGAATTTTTTGTTTTCTCAACAGTATTTTGTCCGTACTTTTGTTACAGCAGTAGTTGACTGCTCGTCGATATGCCATGTGTCGCAAAAAGAGTGTTGGAAACATCTGAGACACACCTAGTCAGTGGAATGATGGCTGTGCTACCTTCTCGTGTATTTTGAAGGATAGTGTGTGCCTTCGATCCAGGTTTGCCAGGACGTCGTCATCATGTAAAAAAAGTGCTTCTGCTATGAAAATAGCCTTGAAATGGGGTTTAGGGTGTTTGTCATGGTAGTCGAATGCACATGTATCGGAGATTTCAAGACGTATTTTCGCGTGTTTCGGAAAAGTGCCTTCTTTTTTTGGCTCTTTGGATTGTTAGTCCACCGTTTTCTTCCCGCGCTGTGGATCTTGGGATGTTTCTCGTTTCGTATCGAGCTCAATTGTCGATTGTACTTCTTGCATGCCTGCTTCTTGCAGAACACTTTTTTAGCTGCTTACCATGTCTTATCTCCAAACTGATGTTTTGTACTCAACACGAACATATGATACAACTCGCTGTTTACATCCGCTCGACCGGACATTTTTTTTGCCGAGAGGCCACTTCTTGAACATCCCGCCTATCGTGTGCCTCGAGTAATGGTCCGTGAACATTGCAAGCTGGTATCAACAGTATCTGTAACGCGGGTTTCAAATAGAGAAGGTGGCGGGCGCTGCCTGGCTTCGGTCTATTTTTCGCGGTAAAGATGTCTCACTTGCGTTCAGGCGTATTGTGACCAATGGGGATGAAGAGCGATGATCAATAGCACGGGCCGTGATTTGTTCCACCTCGAGACTGAACACCTAGGTGTCTGTCTCCCTGCAAGCGGGTGTGGCACACACCCCAAAAAAAAATGCCCCGATTTATTTTCACGAGAGCTTGCCCTTTCAAACCGGGCACTCTCTTGCCTCTAGATCTATCTTTACTGTTGGGCACGTCTTGTCATTGGAGTGCCGCCGATGTACGTCAGTAAGACAGCGCCCGCCGTTTTACAAGCCCTCTACTTAGTGATCGCAGGGTTTGTGTCCTCGACCAAAATTACGAGGTCTCTACCCGCCCGCACTCTATCCTCTCCATTTCCTGATTTCGCGCACACGTTGTTTTTGGTTCCAAAGTTCGGCCTCGTTCCACTTATGTTGTGCGCATGATTTCTTGCCGTGCTGTTTTGGTTGGCCGTGAGGAGATCTGTGCCCCTAATGTTGGTTTTGAAAGCAATGACGACAAGTATCGAGACTTATCACGGGCGTAAATAAACGCCTCATTTTCTTGCATGAACTTCTGGTAACCTTTTCCACGTAACTGGCTCTGCTTTTCTTCAACCCCAACAACACCTTTTCCCGTTCCCTCCCTAACCTTGTGCAATTTTTGTTGAACGCTTGCCCACTACATGATCGAACCACCCTCCCTTGCTGAATCTTGCCCATTTTCTACTGCGCGTTCCTTTTTTTTGGTGTGTTTATTGTATCGATGCGCAGGCAGGGAATGGATAAAAAGGTTAAGGGTGTGCTGCCTTGGCATGTGGGGCTCTTTTGGTGTTGGCAGATCAAAAGCAAACACACAGCTCGGTCTCGACACGTTTCGACGTAGAGAAGTGTGCCGGCGTTTCCTCCTTCTTCTTTCCACCACCACAACTTTCGGAGATTTCGGAGAAGAATTCAAGACGAAAAGGACAGAGCAGCGTGCTACTCCCCTTTCACGCCTACTACCCCCCCCCCACACCGTTGGAATTTCTACAAATCTCATGAGAGAGGGAACCCTCCCTGCCGCGTTCAGGGAAGTCAACACCAGGGCTGCAGACACCGACGTCTGACAGCTCCTGCAGACCAAGCACACAACCGCATACGCACTTGACGGGTTTCATCCACAAGCTTGAGGATTTCCAGGATGGTTGCCGTGCCGTGATTTTGAGGAAGAGAGCGTCGTCTACAGACAACAGGAGGAACCGCGTTTTTCACGTAGACTCCCCGTACACACCGTAAGCACCCCGACACCACCGGGGGTTTCCACATGTGCACGGCCGTTGCATCGTTGGAGGGGGGGGGGG